TCGGTTTGGATTCAAATCAACAAGTTTAAATTCACAGAAAATAATGTTCAAATTCACAGTTATAAAGTTTAAATCAAAGGCACATCAAGAGGATTAAATATTGCTACAAACAGGCAGCCATACAATAGCTCTTCATTTTCCTAGAGGTTTGTCACGCTGAATTGGGAAAAGATCGTCACACCACGAATAAGGTCTATTGCTTGTCTTATTATCATTAGTAATACAATTTTATTTAAAATTTTTTAAACTAATCTTAAAATACTTTAGTTTATTTGAATTCATTGAATGAAGTATGATGTGATCGTATTCAATTACTATGTGAATATTTAACAATTGCCCTACTTCACTATGACATCACATCAAAACAATATTCAACAATCTATGGTTTAAACGCAAAGGATCATGGTCGTCGGAGGGGGTCAAATCAACGCAAACTAACCGAAAATTGTTCTAAATCCCGTATTATTCCACGAAGAGAAGTAGAATAGCCAGCAAACACTCAGAATATTTTTTAGTACATATTAACACATATTATATCTGAAAACCAGGCCATTTTAGATTAAACTGTTTCGCTAGGAGCAAATTTAGTTGAGTTTCTATTGGATTTGGCGATTCTATCCCCGACATAAACAAGCAGTGATGTCATAGTGAATTAGGTCAATTATTCGCCAAAGGCGAAGGGAATATCAGGAAATATTTACCGAGACGCAAGTCTTCGAGCGGCGAGGTAAATATTTTCCGAAATTCACTGAGACTGAGGCCAATAATAATTATTGTTTTAGTATAAATACACAGGTGATTCTTTCAAAAAAAAAAGGAAAAAAAGAAGATAAAAGACATTTTTCCCCGGTAACAGCAACAAAGTGGCTGGCCGCCATTTTGGATTATCGCTGGAGGTGATTATCGTATGATAGTGTGAGTTTCTTGACCAATCAGCGTGCAAACTTTTCAATAATCACCTGTGTATTTATACCAAAATGTATTAAAATTGTGAAGCGTTGTTGTTGAACTCTTGCAATTGAGGCTATATAATCAATAATAATATTATTATTATCTTTCTAATCTTTACCTTGTCTTTGGAGTTAAGTACTACAGCTGCAGTATGTGGTATTCTGACAACATAATGACTTCCAACCCACGTATGAACTGGAAGACTGACTTTTGCAGGTAAATTGAGATTAAGAAGTGAAAGCTCTGCAAATAATCTTGATGCTAAAGTAGACAAGTAAACAAAGGGGTAAAGAAATGAGTGGAGAAGATAATGATAATAATTAATCTTTATTCAGGAAGCCTACTATTTTTAAAATATATATAAATCTAATATATAAATATTTATTATAAATATAAAATATAATTAAAATAATAATAATATAAATATAAACAAAAAATACCCTCCCCCTACACAACCATGCTAGCAGCAGGAAAACACTATTAAAAAGGTCAAAATGATTCAAAAACTCATAATCTAAAAACTATCTATACATTAATTAATTCTCTACCCCATAATAATAATTTAATTAATAATCTTTTTCTAGTAAGAATACATTAATGGAAGGATGGATAGGATGGAATAAAATGAGAATGATGGAAAGAAAGGAGAGAATAAAGAAAGTGTGATAAATCTCAACTGGTCAATAATATAAACATCGTATTTATAAGAACAATTTCCTATGACTATGAAAATGGCACGGCAGGAACACGGCCATAACATGGCAAGGTGTTCGTTAGAGTAATCACACTGGCCAAGAATTTACTCTCCATCCAATCAAATGCCTGAAACGCAGCATGAACACTGTGTGGACACAGTCATGCCAATGTTACGAAACTGCCAGACCAATCACATTGCATGTGAAAAAAAATATTCAAGCAAAAATTATAGAAAGCGACATGTTCGCTGCATATGGTACCAACTTTTTTACAGTCATAGGAAAACTGCACCATGAATTATGCATGATTGTGTAGATTTTCTTTAGTTGTTGTCTCACTTTTTAAGTCTTTAGTTGGTAAGGCCTGAAGTCTCTTGCCAACAGCTATTAATGCTGATATGAATTCCCTCTCTGCTGAGARCCGTGCATTCTGTATAACAGCATACAAATGAGGTAAGTTCTACGTGTTAGTGAAGAACAAAAGAATAGTGACTTTTCTGTCTAAGTCAGTAATGGTCTTAGTCCATCTAAAACCAGGAGAATGTTGTCTCTAGTTATCATTTTGAATCCCATTTCTATACTTATGTATACATAGGTGTCCATCTTCCTTACCTGACAATTACAACTGTTTTGTGCGGCCTTTGCTAGCTCAATGAGGGAGGGTGATGAAGCATTGGCTGATGGTGCAGATGTATGCCTGCGGCAATATCCTTCAAAAGCATGACCATACCTCAAGTCATTGCTATAGCTTCCTTCATACTCGTGTGCCTGCCAATCAAATAATTGACAAATACTTAACAATTAAGTTGGAATAAATTTAAAACAATTAGGAATTATCTGGTTTTCCCCCTTCACAAAACTAATTTTTAATTTGATGCGTGAATAAGTTGTGCTCTGATTTTGATCAGCTAAAAGGTTGTTGCAGGGTATGGATAAAATATGAAGCCTCGAAAAGAAGAATTTCTAAACAAACAGTGTGACATCTCAAACTGTGAAATGTCCTTAAAATTTTAAAATGAGTTGTTTACATTAGAGTAATTCTAGCATGGAAGTACATGCAGGTATCAGCCAATCAAAAGATCAAGATTGGAGGCAAGAAATGTTCCTCCAGATGTTGACCAATCACAAGAGGGAAGAAATCTTTAATGTTCGGAGAATGAGAAAGTATGACTTTGAACTAGTTTGCCACACTGTCTTGCCACAGTACAGAATTGATGATATCCCTTGGTAAGACATACCTCCATTATTCTAGTGGAAGCAACAATTGCTGCTGTAGCATCAGACTTGGACCTGTGATGTGTCTTCTTTGATGGTGTAGAAGTCCCTGTAACAGGAGACACTGGGGATGGTGGGCCTATATTGCTGGGTGGTCCCAAAGGTGATCTATGGGGTAAACCAGATAATTATTAGTAATATACATTACTGTTTAGAGAGATATGGAAAAATTAAACGATGGAGCTACATTACTGGGTGAACCAATCATGACACAGGATATAAGGGAGTGTAATAATGAAACTAAATCAGTGGTCCCAAAGGTGATCTGTGTGGTAATCCGGATAATTGTAACAATACAAAACCAATGACAATGGGAAGATATCCTGAACATATTAACCAAATGATTGTTTGTATGAAATTAATTGATTAAAAATATTTTTGTAAATAATTATATCAAACCTCTAATAAAACAAAAACGGATGAAGACAATGAATATTATGATCTAGTTGTAGAAAATATAAAGAGCAAAAAAGAGAGAATTCTTACTTTGGTTTTGCACTTTCATGTTTAATAATCTGTATTAGTCTCATTCCTCTGGCATGTTCTTTAGTAGGTAGCCAACCATCTGCACAGTGGGCTTCTAATAACCAAGCAGCCTAAAACCAATTGACATTAATGAGTTTCTTTGGAGGATCTTTTGGTTTAATCCTAGACTTGAATGATGAGTTTTGTGCACTGTGACTGGTATAGCGAGCAGTGATCATGACAGGATAATATACACTGCTCTTGTGGTGATTATGAGGTTTACCAAAGTCTGTCCGAGCAGAAGTAATACTAAAATGTTTCTTATCATGAATTCCGTTTTTTTTCTGATATTCAAGTCTAAAATTATGCTAAACAATAATTGACATCGATCAGGCTCAGTGAATATGGAGAATATTAACCTCGCAGCTCAAAGTTTCATGGCTTAGTAAATATTCCTGATATTCAATTCATCTTCAGAAAATAATATTATCATYAATGCTTTTATATTTTTTATACATTTTTGATTGTTGTCTAATTAAGAGATTTTGGGGTCTGAAAATTTGTAAAAATTATGCCCAAGCTAGAGGTATATTTACAGTATTACAAAGAGGTATAATCACTTAGTCAGTTAGTTGGTTACCTGAAGTGAGAATGAGAAACTTCTCTTGCATCTTTCAACCATGTATCGTTGTATGACCTCAGACACCTCATCCATGTGAATATACATATTACTGACAAATACAATCATCCAATCATCAAATTACTGCTATTTTCATATACATGCAAACTCTGTGGTTGTGATAAGCATTGCCTGTTGGAATTTGGTTTTTCACTACCGTCAATCAAAAATATGAAAGGTACCAACTGATTGTTTTTGATTGACAGCAACGAAAAACCAAATTTCAACTTGCAGCTACAGAGTTCAAAAAATTATGAAAATAGAAGTAACTGCTTGAGAATGAATTCATGCCGGTGGAACAAAGGTTTTTAATCTCATGAGAATAAACATGACAGACATGTAATAAATATTCATGCAAAAAAGTTTGAATTGRCTTTTCTAAAACTTTACACTGAACATGCATATCTTTTAGGGAAGCATCGTTGGCATAGTGGTGAGAGCGCTCACCCCTCGCCAATGCAATCGGGGTTTGAGTCCCACCAGGCTCAGTGTCCCATGGGAATTGAGTTGTTTGCTGCTTCCCTCCTGTGCTTCAAGGGTTTTCTGGGTTCTCCGGTTTTCCTCCCTCTGCAAAAATCAACTCCTAAATTCCAATTGAAATTACAGTTTATGGAGAGCCACTCTGTTGAAATACCACTGCTAAATCCTATTTATTTATCTTATTCATTYATTCTATTTATTTTATCTTCTAAGTCATATAAGGTATACTTACATAAGTTGAGGGAGATAAAAACTGACATCATCATCCTTTAGTGACTGTAAATGGTAAATAGTAAGAATGTCACTAATGTTATTAAAATATATATAACAGGAAAAGATATCTAATACGCTGCATATTTTTTTAATTTATTGGCCATATTGGCAAAAGAAAATAAGTTAACATTCACATGATAAGCATATGTTTACAGCTGTATTATTTGCTAAGGGTTTGTGACAAATTTAAACACCCCCAGCTGATCTGAAAGAAAATGTCAGCCAATCAGAATCAAAAAAAAAAAATTGCGAGACTGAGTTGTCACTATTCCTCTTGTAATATTATGGATTTCCTGGCCACCAAATCAAAAAAATCTTGTAGGTAAAAGAGGTTGATAACAATAAAAAATTGTTTAAGAGTTTTATATCTTTATTGCAATGGTGTACAGATTCTTATTTTTCGCTGGTCAATTCACAGGCTTCATGACACCTCAGTATTACAGTGAAGTAATTTCTATGTCACTATTTTAGACCAACCAGATATGCACAGACCATTAGCTTTTAGGGGTAAAAACAGTCAGAGAGGAATAGAATTCCTCTGCTTTCTAAAAGAGTATCTGAAGCATAAATTTATGTTTAAAAAATATTCTGCATTAATTAAATTGTTGATCGCAAAGACTGTCAGCAAGGTTTCACATTTCTAAACTTAAATTAATGTCTTGGTAAAGATAAATAAAGTGAGAGGCCACAGGACTGTAATATTCTTCAAATGCAATCACAACCATCCAAAGACCAATTTGCAATGAAAACCACCCTCGAGCTCTAAAAAATACGCAATATAAAGCACTTACTGAATTGGAAAATCACAATTGCTTCTACTGATACTTTTGAGTAAAACTGGGTTGACAATGTTGATACAGTGTCATGCTTTGGTCAAACTGAGATTCAATTAAAGCAAGTGACAGCCTTCATGTGGTTAAACGAGATCTATTAGC